AAGAAGAAGAAGAAGAAGAAGAAGAAGAAGAAGAAGAAGAAGAAGAAGAAGAAGAAGAAGAAGAAGAAGAAGAAGAAGCAGCCGCCATGCTGGTACCAGCCTCACCTGCCCCAGAAATATTCCAGCATCCCTTAAGCCATCCCTGCCTCCTGTGAATCTCTAGTTTACTTACCCAGAAAGGTGTCCAGGTCTGCCATGGATGGTACTGTGGACAGGTCAGGGGCCCAAGAAGGCAGCCTGGCTTCTGATGACTCTGGGCTGGCCAACCTACCCAGCCCTCCGGGTCCTAAAGCCAGTGGGAAGCAGAGTGGGGGTGGAGGGAGGCCAGGAGCTGGCAGGCTCAGCGAGATGAAATATTGATACCCGAGTCCTGGTAAAGCGGAGAACACTGCTTGTCCATGAATAAAAGATAAGCTGGAGGAGCGGGCTGGGCAGCAGATTAATTAATCTGAGTGAGCCTTGCTCTGTGCTGGGGGGGAAGGGCATGGTGGAGCAGACAGGCTGTCCCAGCCCCAGGGTCCCAAGGGACCAGCAAAGGCCCTCTGTTCTAGGCAGACAGCTAGGCAGGGCAGCAGCACTGAGCATGGGCAAAATGGGAGAGGGGCAAGGGTGGCTGGTCTCCAGGGCCAGAATCGGGCACTGTGGCATGGCTGCCAGGCTACCCAAGACGGCAGCCTCCCTGGCAGAGGGGGGGACCACAGGGGTCAGTTGCTTTGGAAAATGGTGTCGCCAGAGTCTCTGAGCATTCCTGTCGTCTCAAGCCCTCCCTCAGGGTGTCTTCGAGAGCCAGGATAAATGGGGACACGAGAGGAAGGGGCAGGTAGTAGATGTAGGGCTAACGTGGAAATGCGGCCACAATGGGCACAACTTTGATGTAGCTGGCACTGGTAGGCTTTAGATCTGAAGAGGGGAGGGGTAAAGTGGGAGCCGCTGAGGCCCTCCCTGCCCCCTCATCCCATGGCAGCCTCAGGACCTTGACTGCCCCTGCTTGAGGATGACATGGGGAAATGCCGGCAGGGTGGTGCAGGCCACGAGACTCCTGGACATGGTGATGGCGGTCTCCCCAGGACACAGAGCTCACAACCTAGTGTTCATCTGTCATCCGCTGGCTGTGGCAGCTTCCACAGGCTCTTGGCGGTTTTATGTTTCCCAAAGGTGACATTAGGACAGGGTAGTGACATCCCTCATCATGCTTTCCACCCACAGGGTCCTGCCGGGAAGCATCAGCCCCAGGCTCTGTACTGTCCTGATGGACCCTCGGTCCTAATGCCCGTTGATGACGCTAGCCCTTCCATCGGTGTGACCTGGTGACCCTCTGCCCAGGGTGCCCTCCTGCTCGCCCCTGTCTGTCCGCAGGCAGACAACCATCTTTGGAACTGTTGTGTGGGAGAGAATCGGGTCAGCCTCAGCTGATGCCAGCCACAGTCCCAAGCAAGTGACAGGACACCTGCAGATGGTCCTTTCTCCCCCTCCCCCAGCCTGAAGCATTGGCCATGGTCAAGAACAGCTTCTGGAACTCAGCCCAAGACCAGCCACGGTGCTGCTAGGGATGGCACACTGGCTGGTTTTGTGTCAACTTGACACAAGCGAGCGTCATCAAAGAGGAAGGAGCCTCAGCTGAGGAAATGCCTCCTTGAGATCCAGCTGTAAGACATTTTCTCAATTAGTCATCAATGGGGGAGGGCCCAGCCCATGGTGGGTGGTGCCATCCCTGGGCTGGTGGTCCTGGGTTCTTTAAGAAAGCAGGCTGGGGAAAAAACAAACAAACAAACAAACAGGGGAAGCAAGCCAGTAAGCAGCACCCCTCCATGGCCTCTGCATCAGCTCCTGCCTCCAGGATCCTGCCTGTCCTGTCTTCCCTCATTAATGAACAGCAATGTGGAAGTGTAAGCCAAATAAACCCTTTCCTCCCCAACTTGCTTTTCAGTCATGATGTTTTGTTACGGCAATAGAAACCCTAACTACAACAGATGGGGCCATGCAGCTGACATCATCCCAGGTTGGTTCCCTGCACAGCCGCAGCCACGACCTCCCCCTTCCTTCCCATGGCCTCCCTGGTTCCCATATCCCTTCCCTCCCCGCACCCCCCGCCCCCGCCTCCTCTGGCTGGCTCAAAGCCTTTGCCCATCTCTCCCAATCAGCGGGTATTTACCATGAACAGTCCGCTGACACCTTCTGTACTTTCTCTCATATTTGTTATTTAATTTTCCTTCCTGTGGGCTCAAGCCCATCTCTTCCATTCATTCCTGGCTTCTTGAATTCAGGAGCAAGGTCATTTTGGTCCCTCCAGTTCTCCCGAAGCTGTGCGCAGCCGTAGACACATGGGGGTTTGCTTAGGTGACGGTGAAGGGATTCTAATCCTCATACCTCCTGTCTCCACCAGAGCTAGCCCTTCCTGCAAGCGCCCACTCTGTATCCTCTTGGGTACTGTCTCACCTTCCTCATAACCTTCTAGACAGGTGTATTTCTCCCAATGGCCAGATGGCAAAACCCAGGTGTACACTTGGCCAAGGTCACGCAGCTGGCGATCAACAAAGCAGGGAAGGAGCCCTAAACTAGGCTTAGAGTTCCAGCCAGTACCTCTGCCTGATGATGATGGCAAGATGCAAGGGAACCCATAGCATCCCTCACCTCCTGAGGGGACAGGTGAGGGAAGGGGGATAAAGGTCTCCCAAGGGCTGGGAGTGAGCATAACTGGACCTGGCCTGAGGGCTCCAGGCTGTTCCCTCTTCCTGCAGCTGCCCTCATCCCCGGAGGCCCGATCGAGCTGTGACTGAAGGCCATGGAGGTTGGCTAGGCTGCTGTGGGGCTCAGCTTCCAGCTCACTGCTATCTCACTATCACCTGAGCCTGGAGCCTGGTGAGAAGATTGGTGGCCCTCCGCAGACCAGAAGTCATGGTAGACTAGAGTCTATCTGGGAGAGAAACAGGAAGAAGCTTGGTCCAAGAAGCACATATACTGTATCATGCACATCTAAGCGTTTTACCTCTGCACTGGGGTACTGGGGTGAACGTCTGCAAAAAGAAGCTGGGACCAGGAGTCTGCTATTTCTGTAGTTACAATGTCACCTGCTGGCCATTTAAGGCATAGCAACACAACTGGGTACCATAAAACATCCAGCTGCTAGCACGGTTTCATTCATCCAACGTTTCTGCGTGGCAAGCGGCGCTGGAAGGCTGGGTTCACAAGAACGAACCAAAAAAATACGCAAGCACGGTCTTAAAGGAGGTTACAGTTGAATGTGGGAAAGGCGAGAGTAAGCGGGACTGACGTGTACCATACACACCAAAGGGCACAGGAGGCTTGAGCACCAGGAGGAATCTGAAGCAGACGGGGAGTGCCTGGGGTGCTGTGATTTACTCAAGAGGAGAGACATGACCTCACGGAGCCAGTGACTGAGGAATATCCAGAGGTGGTGAGGAAAGAGCCGTGTTGACTTCTGAGCTGGCTCATCCAGACTGAAGAGGAATGAGTCCTGCCTGGTAGATCTGGGAACCCAGCTGGGAGGGTCTGGGTAGGGCAGAGCCTGAAGGGTGACTTCAAAAGCCCGGGCTTTGTAGCGGGGCTCAGAAGGGAAGAAAACCCAGCATTATCTGGCTTTATCCCCCAGCCTTGGTGGGGGATGGACCCAGAGACTTGGGCATACTAGGTGAGGTTACCACTAGGCCACATCATCGGTCTACTAACTTACACTCTTTGTCATGTTGTTCTGGTCGAGATGAGCCTGTGGGTCAAGGTCAAGGAGGAAGGGAGGGAAAGAGGGAGGGAGGGAGGGAGGGAGGGAGGGAAGGAGACCTGCTGTAAGGCAATGTGACTCCCAGTCAGGAGCCCAGGCAGTGGGGAGAGGTGAAAGGAGCTTTGTAGGACATGAGAAGAGGAATCAAATGACTTCAAGGTCATAACTACAGAGAATGTGCTGTACTGCACCGA